TGTGCACTCGAGAAGAAAGTATATTCTGTTGCTTTGGGATGCAGAGTTCTAAATATATCTGTCAAGTCCATCTGATCCAATATGTCATTCAGGGCCCTTGTTTCCTTATTTATTCTCTGCCTAGATGTTCTGTCCATTGCTGTAAGTGGAGTATTAAAGTCCCCTGCAATTACCACATTCTTATCAATAAGGTTGCTTATGTTTGTGATTAATTGTTTTCTATATTTGGGGGCTCCCATATTTGGCGCATAGATATTTATAATTGTTAGCTCTTCCTGACGGATAGATCCTGTAATTATCATATAATGCCCTTCTTCATCTCGTTATAGCCTTTAATTTAAAATCTAGTTTGTCTGATATAAGTATGGCTACTCCAGCTTTCTTTTGACTTCCAGTGGCATGATAAATAGTTCTCCATCCCCTCACTCTCAATCTGAAGGTGTCCTCAGGACTAAAATGAGTCTCTTGTAGACAGCAAATAGATGGGTCTTGTTTTTTTATCCATTCTGATACCCTGTGTCTTTTGGTTGGTGCATTTAGTCCATTTACATTCAGTGTTATTATAGAAAGATATGGGTTTAGAGTCATTGTGATGTCTGTAGGTTTCATGCTTGTAGTGATGTCTCTGGTACTTGGTCTCACAGGATCCCCCTTAGGATCTCTTGTAGGGCTGGTTTAGTGGTGATGAATTCCTTCAGTTTTTGTTTGTTCGGGAAGACCCTTATTTCCTTCTATTCTAAATGACAGGCTTGCTGGATAAAGGATTCCCGGCTACATATTTTTTCTGTTTATCACATTGAAGATTTCCTGCCATTCCTTTCTGGCCTGTCAAGTTTCAGTAGATAGGTCTGCTACTTCCCTTATGTGTCTCCCTTTGTATGTTAGGGCCCGTTTATCCCTAGCTACTTTCAGAATTCTCTCCTTATCCTTGTATTTTGCCAGTTTCACTATAATATGTCATGCAGGAGATCGATTCAAGTTACGTATGAATGGAGTTCTCTGTGCCTCTTGGATTTCAATGCCTTTTTCCTTCCCCAGATCAGGGAAGTTCTCAGCTATGATTTGTTCAGGTACACCTTCAGCCCCTTTCTTTCTCTCTTCTTCTTCTGGAATTCCTGTGATACAGATATTGTTCCATTTGATTGCATCACTTAGTTCTTTAAATCTCCCCTAGTACTCCTGAATTTATCTCTCTTTTTCTCAGCCTCCTCTTTTCCCATAATTTTATCTTCTAATTCACCTATTCTCTCCTCTGCCTCTTCAATGTGCACTCTGGCTGCCTCCATTTTATCTTGCACTTCAGTTATAGCATTTTTAATTCATCATGACTATTTTTTAGTCCCTTGATCTCTATAGCAATAGATTCTCTGCTGTCCTCTGCTTTTTTCAAGCCCAGTGATTAATTTTATGTCTATTATTCTAAATTCTTGTTCCGTTATATTGCTTACATTGGTTTTGATCAATTCATTAGCTGTCGCGACTTCCTGGAGTTTCTTTTGAGAAGAATTCTTCTGTTTTGTCACTTTGGCTAGCTTTCTCTACCTTATGCGTTTTAAAAGCTTGTGTGCTCTGCACCTGTGAGCACTGCTATATTAACGGCAGGCCATACACTGTCCAGGGCCTGGCCCTTCAGGAGGTGTTTTTTTCGGGGCTTGTTATTTGCTCTATGTTGTTGTGACTTTGGTTATTTTATTACCCTACTCATAGTAATATTTCCGACCCTACACCAGGTGTGCTTTGATTTGTTCCTTGGAGTAGCCCTGCTGATGTGATTAAGCGAGTACCCCAGTCTGTGTGCCTCGGTACCTAGATCTAACGATTCCCTGAGCATCTTAGCTTGAGGCCTCCCCACATTGTGCATGACAGAAGGGATCCAAGAAACAGATTCTTAACTGTAGAGAACAAACTGATAGTTATTAGAGAGGAGGTTGGTTGGGGCAGGGAATGGCTTAAATATGATGGAGATTAAGGAGTGCACTTGTTGGGATGAGCACTGGATGTTACATGTTAAGTGTTGAATCACTAAATTGTAAACCTTAAACTAATATTATTCTGTACGTTAAGTGGAATTTAAATAGAAAGTTAAAGATCAAACCATCCAAACATTCCCTTCAGGCAAAGCCTAATCTCGAACAAGTCTCTAACTCTTCAGTTTTATGAAGGCCAAGAGAGATGAGGAGGCTTCCAGAGAAAAGTTTGAAGCTAGCAGAGATTGGTTTATGAGGCTTAGGTAAAGAAGCTGTCTGTATAACAACAAAGTGCAAGATGACGCAGCAAACTGTTGATATAAAAGCTGCTGCTGGGGCGCCTGGGTGGCGCAGTCGGTTAAGCCTCCGACTTCAGCCAGGTCACGATCTCGCGGTCCAGGAGTTCGAGCCCCGCGTGGGGCTCTGGGCTGATGGCTCAGAGCCTGGAGCCTGTTTCCGATTCTGTGTCTCCCTCTCTCTCTGCCCCTCCCCCGTTCATGCTCTGCCTCTCTCTGTCCCAAAAATAAATTAAAAATAAATAAATAAATAAATAAATAAATAAATAAAAGCTGCTGCGTTATCCAGATCTAGCTAAGATAATTAATGAAGGTGGCTACATTAAACAATATATTTTCAATGTAGACAAAATAGCCTTTTATTGGAAAAAGATGCCATGTAGGACTTCCACAGCTAGGGAGGAGAAGTCAGTGCCTGGTCAAAGTTTCAAAGGACAGACCGACTGTCTTATTAGGGGCTCATATAGTTGGTGACTCTAAGCTGAAGCCAGTGTTCGTATACCATTCCATAAATTCTAGGGCATTTAAGAATTATGGTAAATCTACTCTGTCTGTGCCCCATGAATGGAACAACAAGGCCTAAATGACATCACATCTGTTTTCAACATAGTTTACTGAATATTTTAAGCCTGCTGTTGAGACCTACTACTCAGAAAAAATATTCCTTTCAAAATATGACTGTTAATTGATAATGCACCTGACCCCACAAGAGCTCTGATGGAGATCAGAATGAGATTAATGTTGTTTTCAGGTCTGCTACCACAGTATCCATTCTGCAGCCATGGATCAAGGAGTCATTTGGCTTTCAAGTCTTAATTTCATGTATTTCTTAAATAATAAGGCTTGAAAGCCATTTCATAAGGCTGTAGCTGCCATAGATGGTGAGTCCTCTAATGGATCTGGGCAAAGTAAATTGAAAACCTTCTGGAAATGATTCACCATCTGAGATGCCGTTAAGAATATGTGTGATTTATGAGAAGAAGTCAAAATCAGCCTTAAAAGCAGTTTGAAAATTTATTCCAACTCTTGTGGATGACTTTGAGGGGTTCCAGACTTTAGTGGAGGAAGTAAGTGTAGATGTGGAAAGTAAATGCGGATCTAACAAGAGAACTAGAATTAAAAGTGGAGTCTGAAGATGTGCCTGAATTGCTGCAATCTTGTGATAAAACTTTAAAAGATGAGGAGTTGCTTCTCATGGATGAGCAGTATCTAATACAGTATCTAAATACAATTTTATTTATATATTATGTGACTCAAATATTTATGTGTTCTAATGAATTTAGTTATTAGTGGAATATTTGTTCACATCATAGGTTGATTGTGTTTACCACATAAATGTAACTTTATTTTATCAAATTTAAATGTTTATTTTTCTTTTTATCAAATAGTATACGTTGAAGTCTATCTACCTTATGAGATAGCGAGCTGATGAATAAATTCAGGGATGTTCTAGAATGTATTCTTGCGTTTGTGTGAGAATGATCAGTTAACAAGGTTGTGGAGCACCAAGACAATGGAGTTTTGTGTGATCACAAAAAGTTATATTATAGTTCTTGTAGGAGAACTCATTTTAGTTTGATTTCTGATTAAAAATTAGGTGTATCTAAACATATTTCAGGCCTTAGTGAAATTTCTTCCTTGCAAAAAGCAGGGAACCTTTCTGTTCTATTAGTTTCTGTATTCCCTTCTAAATATTACCACTTTAAGTTAATCTGTACACCTCCTTGTAGAAGGTTGTAGCATACATTAAATAAATCAATTGTATGGACAAAATATACTTCAGTTTTAGACTGTCTTAGAGAAATCTGCATGTATTAAACTAAATTAGAAACTCAAAGATTTTTTCATTCATTACCATTATATAAACTTCTGATCCATGTATGTTTTTTAGTGTTTTGGCGCTAAAGATTAATTTGACTTGAATTTTTTAGGAACAGCTTTTGTTAAAAAAACAAAAAACAAACAAGGCATGTACATACTTAAGACAAATGTTAAACTGTTTGAAATTTGCAATGTATACAATGCAGTAAAACCTAATTATATGTTTTATCTTTTCTGTGATATAGTTGTGCAAGTTACTTTAGGTCCACAGTCAATATTTCCTTGACAGTGTTAACCTCTTATGAGAACTGGAACACTAATAATAAGAACATAGAATTTAATAGGTTTAACATTACCTACATGATTAATGTGTTTATGACAGTATATTACATTGAAATTTACTTCATTGAATGTAGTGCAGATATTTCTCAACCTTCTGGTTTTTTAAAGGTAATTTACACTTGACTCTCAAAAACCTGGGACTTGAACTGCACAGGTCCATTTAAACGAGTATCTCTTTTCAATATAGAATAGGACTAAATGTATTTTCATTTATGATTTTCTTAACATTTTTTTCTCTAGCTTATTTTTATAAAAATACAGTCTATAATACATACAACGTACAAAATATGTGTTCATCAACTGTTTATGTTATTTATAAGTCTTCCTGGTCAGTAGTAGGCTATTTAGTATTTAAGTTTTAGGGGAGTCAGAAGTTAGACTGCACGGGGGGATTGATGCCCCTAACCCCTGTATTGTTCAGGGGCCAACTGTATTTAGATAATTTTAAAAATAGATTCAGATCTAATATTGAAATATTTCCTCTAATTACTCTTTACTCCTTTCAGAGGAAATGGATGTAGAAGCTCGACTTACTGAACTATGTGAAGAAGTTAAGGTACTTGGATTTTTTTTAATTAACATTATCAAGTTATTTGAGTGGATTCTGTTTCCTATTCTAAATATTTTATCCAAGAAAACTTAATGATTTATTCTTCCTCAAGTGGTTGATCATAGTAGAATAACAGCTTAGTTGATAAAAAGTTATTTGGCTTCAGCATGAAGTTAACTTATTTTTAAAATATACATTATTCTGCCTATGAATGAGATAGCAAAGACAACTAATTGTCAGAAGTGTGCATTTTCTTCAGTTAGTTTACTCAAAAGAATTTCTGGACAGATTTTTAAATCATCCTTAAAATTACATATATTTACAAAATGATAGTTCAGAAATGAAAATTGATTTATTTCAGCAGACCAGTTTGTCTCAGACCATTTTTCCAGTAGTTTATTCTTGAAATTAAATTAAATTGATTTTTCTTTTTCCTTTTTTTTTTTTTTTTTTTTTTTTTTTTTTATGGCTGTGAAACTAAATGTTCTATTTTAAGTATTCTGTTTTAAGATTACTATAGATTTCACTCTTGGTTAGCTACAAATCAGAGACATAAACAAAAATATATATTTGGCTTTGGAATGTATTTCTGTATGTAAATTTGAATAAGGACTAGACCACTTTGAAAAGGTATTTACCTTCTCTTTGTAAAATTATACATATGCATGATACACAAGTAATTTTGTATCCTCTTCTAGAGGTTTTCCCCACAGCTCAAATAAGAGTATTTTCTTTAAAAATCAACAATGTTGTCATAATATTTGCTCACAAGAACATTAAACATTTAGAAGTAATCTTAATAAGATGTGTACAATTAATGTGAAAAAATCTTCAGTGTTTCACTGAGATATTTGAATAAGTAAACATGATACTTTTGAATGGAAAGAGAAACAGTCCCTGAAAGATACCAGTTTTTCTTAAGTTAATAATTGATACATTCATATCAAAATACCATTGGAAATGTTAAAATTTGACTCACTTTAAAGAGCACTTGGAGAAAGGTGAAAATGACTAAGAAAAACCTTAAAAAATACATTTTTGTAGAAGGACTTGCCCAAATGTGTGTTAAAATGTATATAAAACTAATGGAAATAGAGAATGACTTCTCTAAAAGAATAGAAAAACAGCAGCTTCTTGGTGGGGACTCAGTTCAGCATCTGAGTCTGTTTCAGCTCAGGTTATGATCTCACTGTTTGTGAGATAGAGCCCCACGTTTGGCTCCGCACTGACCACCAACCCTGCTTGGGATTCTCTCTGTCCCTCTCTGTCTGCCCTTCCCCTACTTATATATACATACAATACATATACTTTGTATCATATATATACATACACATATGTATGTATTTCAAACTGTTAACAATAATACAGACAAGAGTTGCATGAAGGATGGAATTGTAAAGGAAAATTTTTATTCTTTGCTCTGTATCCATCTGTGCTAGATTTTAAAAATACTGTATGTATTGATATATTACTAATAATTTTTTAGGTACACATTTAAATTTCAGTATGTAAATGGACATCATAAAATTTAAGATCAACAACATATGGTAAATTTTGACAGCAAATAGAATAGACAAAAGATACAATATTTGAAGAGCTCTTTCAAATCAATAAGAAAACCTATAACCATTTTTTAAGTTAGTATAGGATACTCATTTACAAAATAGGTTAATAATTGAAACATACTCAATCTCACAATCATGAAATAAACAAAATTTTAAGTATTCTCATACCTTTTTTAACCTATCAGGTTGGCTGTGGTTTTCTAATAATGTAATGCTTGTTAAGATGTGATAAGATACAGATTCTTATATTTCTCTCATAGATCTTGGAGATCTTTTTCAGATATTAATTTGGCAGTATATATTCAAAGCCAGGGTATTACTTGTCAATCAGTACCAAATAAAAAATCAGAGATTCACATACATTGTAATTTATAATGTAAAAATATTAACCTAAGTAAATACCCAATGGTAGGAGAATGGTTAAACAAGTTATGGGACACTTACAGTCTAAAAAATGTTATACAGGGGTGCCTGGGTGGCTCAGTCAGTTAAGCATTCAACTTTGGCTCAGGTCATGATCTCACAGTTTTCAGGTTTGAGCCCTGCATCGGGCTCTGTGCTGACAGTTCAGAGCCTGGAGCCTACTTTGGATTCTGTGTCTCATTCTCTGCCCCTCCCCCACTTGTACTCTGTGTCTCTGTCTCTCAAAAATAAATAAATGTAAAAAAAAAAATTTTTTTTAATAAAAAAGTTATACAACCTGAAAAACATGCTTTCAAAGGGCACCTGGTGGTTCAGTCAGTTAAGCATCCACTTAGGCTCAAGTCATGATCTCACAGTCCATGAGTTCGAGCCCCATGTCATTGGACTCTGTGCTGACAGCTCAGTGCCTAGAGCCTACCTGAGATTCTGTGTCTCCCTCTCTCTCTGCCCTTCCCCTGCTCACACGCTCTCTCTCTCAAAAATAAATAAACGTTTAAAAAAATCCTCATTATTCAATGGAAATGGCATAATAGTATATATGATTCTAGAGTTTTCTCTATGTATATAACTGAAAAAAAATTGAAGACTCCATGCTAAAATGAACTTAATTTTCTTTTTTGTTCTTCACCTGTTTTCCAAGTCTAATATTTAAGTAAGCAGCATTTTGTAATCAAACAAGATCAATGACTGCTATGAAAAAGTACATATCCATAAAAGACAAGATGTTATTTGAGAAAATATTCTACAAATGTAAGATCGTATTCCTACATTTATACATATAACACAATTTGTTAAAATTTTTTCTAATTTCCTTTTTAACATAAAAATATTTTATTATTTATATTTTGAGACATAGTGCAAAGATTTATGTAAACCAGAGGAGTAATTTATTTATGCTTGTAAGGATGCTTTCCTAATAATGAAAATACTAAAGTCCTCTAAGAACCTTGGTGCCATGATTTCTGAAAAGGAAAATTAATAATTACAGGGTAGCTAGACAGCCTTGCTTTCAGGGGATTAAAAAAAAGTGTTGTTTACATTGTTCAACCTATGGTAAAACCAAGAGAATTATTTCTACATGTGTGGAGATTATACAAAGAATAGCATTGCTTGCCTTACACACTGCTGTTTAGTTACTGTCAAATGTTTATTCAAGTCATCTTTTTCTAAACTCCCTTAACACTATTCTTGGAACAACACTGCTTGTTTTAACTTATTTTAGAGTACACTTTAATCTTCTGTTTGTTCTTAAGAGAGACATGAAAAACTTGTTAGCATCATTTCTAATATGTTTATAAACTATTTCCTGGGGCAAAATACATTTGTAGATTTATTATACATTGACAAATCAATATTTATTATATGTTGAGTCTCTTAGTTTCCATTCAGGAATTCTGGAATTTTTCAGCATTTTCTGAGTTTGTCCATAAATTTGGGGGACTTTTTCCTTATCTGAAGTCTGTAATTCCTTATTCATTCATTCATTTATTCATTCAATAAATATTTATTGAGTGACTACTGTGTGTACTAGTAACCAAAGTCACAAAAGTGTATAAAACACAATCCCTTCCCTTCTTACTAATTTTGCTGAATTTTTGTTTTATGTCCTCTCTGAGCTAGGATAGAAAAGAAAAGCCTACTGAACTGCATACTTCAAAAATAAGTAAAAATAGGGGTGCCTGGGTGGCTCAGTTAGGCCCCCAACTCTTGATTTTGGCTCAGGTCATGATTTCATGGTTCCTAAGCTTGAGCCCCACGTTGGGCTCTGCCCTGACAGTGCACAGTCTGCTTGGGATTCTCTCTCCCCCTCTCTCTCTGCCCCTCCCTTGCTCTCTCTCTCTTTCTCAAAATAAATAAATAAACTTAAAAAAAAAAAAGAAGTAAAAATAAACTGAGTAAGATTAAGTGTGATAAGCAACATTTTTTTTTTAAAGGGAGCATGAAGATATAATTAGTACTCTTTAGGATATGCTGAACTTGAACACATTTCTTATCACATTCAAATATAGTCATCTAGTGAGTGATGGCTCTAGAGTTCGGGAGAGATGTGGTCCAGATATAAAGATTCAGCAGTCATTAGTGTATGTGATAATTGAAACTATGAGAGTGGCTTTCAATCTTAACCGGAATAGACTATTACCTTCTTTAGGATGGGGAAATGAAATCATCATCTATCTGTATATTTAAGGTAGATTTCCTAGTGTTACTAGCAATTGAAGACAAATTTTTCCAGCAAGATATAATCTGCCTGAACAGTGCTGCCTCAGTGAATTAAAGAAAGGCTTGCCTTTATAACAAAAATGCCTGTCCAAAAGAGAAGGAATTATTCTGATGTATAATATAGTCTTATTTTTCTTTGTTCACAAATCCTTATTTTACTTACGCAAGAAATCCAATGGCTCATAGAAGATTCTGCATTTTGTGGTATAGTTCATTACTTTTAACTTTTATCATGAGTTTAGGTGAATATTTAAATAAATGGGACAATTTAATACCACTATTAGAACCCTCATAACAGCATAGTAAAATTGGTTATCCACTTTTGTTTCCTTACTAAACTGAGCTTCTCCTGTTAATCTTTGACGTAGATTGGAATGTGGGCCCTAGCATTTAAAATGTGCTCAATAAACAGTGGGTAAATGAATTGTTAGAAAAGAGAAAGAAGTGTTTGATGACTGTAAAAGGACTACCAAGGGCAAAATAAAACTTAGAAACTTAGGATGAAGGAAAAGCAATTAGTACTTAAGTATCTCTGTTCTTTCTGAGGAGTTACAGATTTTCTAAGTACTTCAGTTAGCAGATTGGAGGAAAAAATCTTAAGATTTCATTATCTTCTAACACTTCTATAACTTTCATCATGATTTGTACTTATGTTTAAAATTCTCAAGATTTTAGTGTTTGAGTTGATCATGCTCTTTAGAATCCTATGTGTAATTTTAAACTATATTTGACATTATTTTGGTAACAAGATACCTCAGATATTGAAATATCAATTAAGTTGCTGTAGTAACTGTCAAAATTTTTTAAAAAGCCTTTGCTCACTTGGTCTCTATACATATGAGCACGTGCACACACACACACTTTTTAAAACTAAAAATTTGCCTTTGTATTGATGTTCCAATAACATTATATTTAGATATAGTAAGTCTCAGGAAGCAGTGAAGTTTTTTTCTTGTCATTTCAGAAAATAGAAAATCCTGATGAACTGGCAGAACTTATAAATATGAATCTTGCACAACTTTGTTCCCTTCTCATGGCTTTATGGGGTCAGTTTCTGGAAGTTATAACACTACATGAAGAACTAAGACTTTTATTAGCACAAGAGCACCATACTTTGAGGGTAAGTTAAAGAAAAGTGATGTTAGAACATTTTGATCAGTATTAATTATCTTTGAATTTAATTATGAATAAAAAACCTGATTTTTACCCTTATGTTGATAAATTAGAAAAGAGACATTTACTGTTGTGTTATTGTTTGATTTCTTAAGTTAATAATAAAACAATACAGTTAATCACATGATTTGTCTCAGTTACAACTCTTGCCAATAAGAAAAATCATCTAAGTGTAATTAAAATAGAAAACTATATGATACAGGCTAGCCACTGGAACCCAAGAACAGGTATTAGTCAGGTCTCATTAGAAACAGAAATCAGGAACAAGAGAGCCATCTTAAACTAATCTAGACTCTTTCTCCGACTTTTCCTCCTTTTGCCTCATTTAGGAATGTGTATTACAAACTTGGAAAGTCAGGGGGTAGTAATCTAGACACACATGTTTGCTGTAGGCTTACTATGGACCTTGTGCAGAAATTTTTGTTCAATTTTATTGTATAGCTTATCAAGAGGCTTTGATATATGAAACATCTGACTACTTTTCCAGTCTTATCTCTTTGTATGCTCTGTACACACATTAATTTTCGTGACCTACTTACTAGTAGGTCCTTGAAAACACTGTGTTTTCTTTTTTTCCTTTTTCTTTTCTTAATTATAAAACATATTATCAAAATTAGAAAAGTACATAAAACATGCACATTTTAACAATTAATTAAAGGCACATATCCTTTTAACTCTCACCCAGACCAAGAAATAGAAAATTGTGAATACCACAGCAGTGCCTTGTGTGTTTTTTCCAATTTCTCTTCTCTCCCTGACATTTAGAAGTAATCACCATCTTGTCTTTTCTGATAAGGAGTTCATCACTTCTTTTAGTTTTACCATCTGTGTATGCATTCTAAATAATACAAGTTGTTTCATCCTGTCATGTTATTCAGCCTATGTTATTGAATTCTATATAAATGAGATGATACAGTGTATATTCTTTTATATCTTCTTTCACTCAAGATTGTGTTTGTGAGATTAATCCATGTTTTTATCAGTAGCTATAACTGTTCATTTTCATTGGTGTGATGTATTTTATTTGCATATACCCACAGTATGTGTATCCATTCTGCTGATGGACATTTGGATTACTCCTAACTTGTAGCTACTACAAACCAAGCTACTATGAACATTCTTGTACATACTTCCTGGCATGATAGTTTCTCTGAATTATTTACTTGTAAGGGAAATTGCTATGTCATAGGATCTGTATAACGTCAGTTATTTACAAGCAAATGCCACACTATTTTCCAAAGTGGTGCCAGTTTTCACTGCCACCAACACTTGATGAGAGCTCTTGTTATTCCACATACACCCCACACCTCTTGATTTTTGGCAGACTTTAAATTTTGCCAGTCTGATACCATTGTAGTTTTAATTTTCATTTCTCTGATGACCTGTGAGGTTGAACACTATTTTGTATGACTATTGGCTATGTAGATTTCCTGTTTGTAAAGTACCTGTTCAAATTGTTTAATCATTTTTCTATAGGATTACCTTTCTTTTTCATCTTGATTTGGAATACTTTTCTATGTATTGGCCTTTGTTACATGTTTTGTAAATAAATCTTCTCTTGTGTCATTGTTTTTTTTTTCCCCATTATCTTTGTGCTGTCTTTTGATAAATTAGAGGTCTTAATTTTAGTGTAAATGGAACAGAAGAGAAAGGCCAGATATAGATGTATCCATACTTGGACATAATATATCCAGAGCAACATATAGAGAAACCTCAAGATTTCAAGAAAAGTTGAGATTTTCAATAAATGATGTTGGGACAATTAGGTATTCATGTGGAAAAAAAAATACTATGTAAAATTCAGTTTAAGGTGGATTGAAGACAAATATGAAAAGCAAAGTCATAAAGCTTATAAAATATAATAGAGAATTTACAGAAGAGTTACTAAAATAGTACAGAATAATCCTATATACTCTTCATCAGAATCACAAGTTACAATTTTGTCATATTTATCATTGCTTCTTTTTATAGATAGGTTATACACACACACACACACACACACACACACACACACACACACACACAGATTTTTTTTTTCCTGGATCATTTGTTTTTTAGACGCATCATGTTCTTTTATCCAAAAATACTTAAGGGCATATTGACTAAGAACAAAAATACTTTCTTACTTAACCATAGGACAGTGATCAACTTTATGAAATTTAATATTGATACAATATTGATATCTAATGCAAAACTCACTTGATATTTTATTGTTTGTCTTAATAATGTCCTGCCTGACTTTTCCCCTTTTCCAGGATCAAACTCAGAATCACACATTGCATTCAGTTTTCATGACCATTTAAATTCTTTAGACTCATTTAATCTGGAATAGTTCCTTGTATTTTCTTTGTCTTTCATAAAGAGTATTGGCTAGTTTTGTAGACCATTGTTCAGTTTGGGTTTGTATTATGTGTATTATGTTTCCTTATGGTTAGATTCAGGTGATATAGTAATAGTGGAAATATACTGTATTTTATTTCTTTGTCAATCAGTTTTGGTAAATTATGTTTTTTAAGGAGTTTGTTCTGTCTAAATTTATTAATTTATTGGCACCAAATAATTCATAGTATCCTTCAATTATTTTTTTTAACATCTTAAGTATCTGTAGTGTTTTTCTGTTTTATTTTTCTTGTCAGTTATTTGTGCCTTTATTCTTTTTTTCTTGACTGATCCCATCAGAAGTGTCATTTTACTAGTTTTTTCAAAGAACTAACTTGATGTTAATTGTCTCGTGTGTTTTGTTTTGGGTTTTATTAATTTTCCTTTTGACTTTAGTAGTTCCTCTTACTTTCTAAAGGTTTATTTTGCTTTTTAAAGCTTCTATAAGTAGATGTTTAGCTTATTGATTATAGCATTTCTTTTTTTCTGCTTTATACATTTAAGTTGATAAGTTTTTCCCTAAGTACTGCTTTAGTACAAGTTTTTAATATGTTCTTTTTATCCTTTGTTTCTCAGTATTTTCTAAATTTTGTGAGCAGTTTATTCTTTGATTCAGGGTTGTTTAGAAGTTTTTTTCTCATTAGTATATAACATGGTTTATAAAAATAATAAATACATCTATTCCTTCTTTTTCTGGATATAAACATAAACAATTTACTAGTCAATGACAGGACTCCATGGGACTAGTCAATGATAGGACTTTATACACACACACTACCCCAAATGGGAAATTATGCAGCATACCAATAATAATTTGCTTGGGAAATCTTTGATTTAAAGCACTATAGGTAAACAAAACCATTTTAAAGAATACACTAGATATGTTGTCCTATATTTAGCAGTTGTTATTTTTGCCTTGCTCAGAAATCCAAGAAATTGAGTGCCTGCCCATAGTCTTCTGAAATAAGGGACCAGAGACCGTTCTTATCCAAAAATTGCCATATTTTGTATCAAGTGACCCTGCAATTTGAATTAGAGGTTGGCACTTAGACCAAAGGTAGTCATCTACAGCCTGAACATAGAGAAGACTGGTAATTTTTGAAGGTGGCTGCTGCATTAACTCTGCTGATTTGGAGCATTTTCTATTAGAAGAATGACTGAAAAGTATTCAGATCATTTGTCTTGAATAATTCAAACATGGGACACAAAAGAAGAGACCCAGTTACTAAACAGTGGCAGAAACCAAGAGAAGGTCATAGACAAAAGTCATGAGACAATAGAAGCCATGAATAAACCATTTATTACAAGATAGGGATGAAAGTAAAAAGGATCAAAAGCAAAGCAGGGAGAGTGTCAGAGAGAGAGAGGAATGTGAGAATGGAGAAATGACTAGAAAAGGAAAGAACAAACACTGGTTTCTGAACTGCTACTAGAGTGATACTAGGATATTAGTCTAGGTGTTATTTGCTAAATGGCAATGAACAGCATTTCAGTTTCATAAGAACTGGCTGTTTGGCTACAGAGTCACTTCCTTGGATGTCCTTACTTTATATCCTTATAAAAATCCCACACAGCCTGAGGTTATCTGACCACATCTCCATCTCTTGCTAACTAAAGAGCCTGTATTTCCAAGGCTGTGTTTCTTTGTTTCCAAATGTATTGATTTCCTGGTTGCCTTTTTGTTGTTGATTTCTAGTTTATCTTCATTGTGGTTAGAAAAGTCTGTGATTTCAGTATTTCAGTATTCTTGGAGACTTGCTTTATACTAGGAATGTGTATTCATCAGATTGCTGGGTTAAGTGTAAAATATGCTGGGTTAAGTTTATAGATCATTTTGTTCAAATTTTTCATATTCTTCATGAATTTATGGCTGCTAGTGCTATCAACTACCAAGAAAAGTGTGGTAAAATCTCCCATTATGGTTATAAATGTGTCTTATTTGTTGTTACCAGGTAGTAAGTGGCAGAGATGGGATTCAGACCCAAGCAATATGGTTCAATAGCCTGTGTTCCTTACCGTTTGACATACTGCCTCTCAAGATAGAGAAGGGAATTATAGCAAGGATCAGAGGCAACTTTGTCGCATAATATTTTATGAGGTTGGGGTTGTCCTGGGTAGAATAAGAACAAGAAGGTAAGCCAGTAGAGAAGCTGATGAACGCAACTTTAAAAAAAGGGAGCAAAGAAGGAAGGCCAAGATAAAATTGGGTTTATGGAAAACTAAAATGTCAAAGATAAACTGAAATTTTTCCTAGAGCTTCGTTTTTCTCACTCCATTCTAGATAATAAAAAATGGCCTATTTAACTCCTAAAAGAATCAAGGAAAGGTAATTAAGACACAGAGAGAAAGTGCCCTATTGTTACTTAACCAGGAATAATAATCCTTGCCCTGTCATGCCCTGCTCTGATGTATATCACAAAAACTGGAAATGGTGGTATATTATGTCCTTTGATTCCCATTTATGCAGTTAAATAGGAACTTTGTTCATAAAGTTTATCAGTATTCTGAGAATACATTGCTAAGCCTACAGTAACCGAAGTAGTCCAAAGGTCATTCATTGTTTGTACT